TATTTAATTTTCTATAAAAGCTTTTTAAATCAAGCGAAATTATCCCCCACAAAGGATAATTTAATCCTGTGAGTGGGAGAGAGTCGTTATATTATTAGAGATTTTTTTTTAATTATTATTTTTTTATATTATTTTTATTATTATTATTTTAAATTATTATTATTTTTAAATTAAACTTTTATCGTAGATTCCTACCCCATTCAGCGTCCCAGCAGAGCACACTAAATGACCTTCTGAAAGCCAATCTAAAAGGTAATATGCCTATTAATTGGACTACAGAAAGTGAACAAGCTTTTGAAACTTGTAAAAAAAGCCTCAGTGAAGCAGTTATGTTGTCTCACCCAGCACCGAATGCCTCACTTGCAATCTTCTGCGATTCATCAGACTATGCTGTAGGAAGTGTATTGCAACAAAAGGTAGGACAAAACTGGCAACCACTATCTTTCTTTTCCAAAAAGTTAAGTCTAACTCAACAGAAATACTGTACAGTACTTATGACAGAGAACTAACAGCAATTTATCTTGCCATTAAGTATTTCAAACATATGCTAGAAGGAAGACTATTCATCATTTTTACAGATCACAAGCCTCTGACCTTTGCTTTTCGTCAAAAGCCTGATAAGTGTTCTCCAAGACAGTTCTGTCACTTGGAATATATTGGACAGTTCTCAACTGACATTCGCCACGTTTCTGGACAAGAAAACACAGTTGCAGATACCTACTCTAGGATATAAGAAGCCACTTTCTCCTTAAACTTCCAGGCTTTGGCAGAGTCTCAAGCTCATGATGAAGAACTACAACACTATCTAGAAACGGAATCCAACCTAAAACTCAAACAAGTGCTGCTACCAGGAACGGAAGTCTCGCTTTATTGTGATGTATCTACTTCAAACCCCCGTCCTTTTGTCACAAAAAAATTTAGAAGAAATGTTTTTTACAGCTTACACAACCTGTCTCATCCCGGGATAAAGGCATCCAAAAAACTGGTTAGCCAATGTTTTGTTTGGCCTTCAATGAAATCGGACTGTCGTTCTATGGCTCGCTCCTGCCTCTCCTCCCAGAAGTCAAAGATAACACGTCATAGTTCAACCCCAGTTGGAATGTTTGTTCCACCATCTTCTAGATCCGAACACATCCATATTGATCTAGTTGGCCCATTACCTGTTTTGGAAGGTTACAGGTATTGTTTGACTTGTGTTGACAGATTTACATGTTGGCCTGAAGCAGTTCCACTTGAGAACATAGAAGCTGAAACTGTAGCTCGGGCATTATTCACCAACTGGATTTAAAGGTTTGGAACGCCACTGCGAATAACCACAGATCAAGGTCGACAATTTGAATCCTCTCTTATCCAGCAGCTAACACAGTTAACTGGATCAACACATCTGCGAACGACTGCCTATCACCCTGCTGCCAATGGACTCGTTGAACGCCTTCATCGACAACTCAAGGCAGCCATAAGGTGTCACACAACGGATCGTTGGACCGAAGTATTGCCAGTGATCCTGATGGGGATCAGAGCTGTGTGGCGCGAAGATATGCAAGCTTCCTCTGCAGAACTAGTTTACGGTCAACCTCTATGACTTCCTGGAGAGTTTATGACGCCCAGTCAAGATGGACATCAACTGGATCCACCAAACTTCGTAAAGTGCTTACGTCAGCACTTCAACAACCTGCGTCCAGTCAGTGGAACTAGACATGGTGAGAAGACGCCATTCGTTTTCAAGGACCTCGCTACATGCACACATGTCTTTGTGCGGACTGACATCTCCAAGGGAGCTCTCGAACCCCCATACTCTGGCCCTTACCCTATTATCAGCAGAACCACCAAGACTGCTGTTGTGGTGATTAAAGGCGACTGAAACCGGCATACTTTTGGACCGATTACAGTAATGACGGATGTGCATGAAATAAGACAGGAAGCAACAAATCACGCATGGATGATCCTAAAGATACCAAGCAACCACCCAAGACTAGTTCAAGCAAATTAAAACCTGCGATTAAAACAAAATATGGAAGACAAGTACGCTTTCCTGTACGATTTAATATTTAAAGTATCATGATTTACTAAAGGTAAATCATTAGCAGGGGGGTACTGTGGTGAGTGCACCAATACTGTTCAAAACCAGCTGGACAATTATTTGTTTTTAAAAGTATAACTTTGGTTTTGTTTATTCTAATGAGTTGCTATGGTTACCAAACAGTTCATTCCTGGTTTTTATAATTCATACACTTATGTTTTTGTCATGCTTATTAAATTCTATTTTCTATCAGTTTCTTGAATAATTTTCATAAAAGTAACAAAAATAGTTAAATAAGAACCTACTTCTTCAGAGACCAATATTAATATTTACTTTTGAAAACCTCACCTCAAAACCTTGGACATCAAAGGAGGGTAGCCCGAGAGGAACTCAGGGAAGTGAATAGGCCTATGACATTCCTAGATATGTGGACCATCTTTGTGCTTAATTTTGGCTTTATCGGTTTAGTATTTTAGTCGTGACAGACAGACACCACCTCAATTTTATAATGTTATATATGATTCATAAAATGAATGATGATTAAACAATTTGATTAAAATTCTAAAATAAATAAACTTTTTTGTTCTTAAAATACATTTTTTGGCCGATGAATGGGTTGGTGGCTACTCATGCACTAACAATCTAAATGACGTTGCTTAGAGGTGTAATCAAAAGCACACTTCCTTTTACAAACACAAACTCCTCCTGTAAGTTACCAGCAAGTACAATAATAAATAACTACATAACCTGTTGCTCAAAATCGAGCAAAACTGCAACTTGTAATAAAATAATGAAGAACAAAAACATAAACAGCAAAACCTCAATCATAAAGTCACTCTAAGGTAATTTCTATAACTGATTATATAAATGTGAAAAATATTATGTTGTAAAAAATTATAAAAGTAATCTACAGTACAATATTTAAATATAGATCCGTTCTCATACTGCTTTGCTTATCTCTTATGTACTGTAGGCACCCGCCCTATATGAAAACGTAGACAAGTCAACCACACACTGTAAAGTGAGCTTTTCAGACCTAATGTATCAAGCTAAATCCCTCACTTGACGCTAACCAGTACGACATTACTATTTAACTGTAATTTTTACAGTAATGGGGGGTTGCACTATTTTTTTTTAGAATTATAAGGACCATAAGATATTAATTTCATTTAAAACCGGTTTTTCTTCTAAAATAAGATTTTCTGATATTTTATGGTTTTTTTTGTTGGGGAAAGTAACATTTAAATTACAATAACTTTTGAACCGTAACTTTTACAGCAATGGGAATAGTAGGCCTACCATCTAGTTCAGAATTTAAAGGGCTATAACATACTACCGGTATTTTTTTTTTTCAAAATTGTTTGGCCATTTTTGAGAAAATTAAATTTGTCTGTTAATTTACAACAAGTTTTTACAACAGCATGACCTTTTGAACGGATGGGTGTTTTACTTGACTGGACTGTATGGTATAGAGGGAGAAAGTAAATAAATAGAATCATCTGCACACTGTCAAGACGCTGACAGGGATCACTTTTGTGTAAGAGAAGCGATGAGTGGGAAGATAAAGAACTTAGAAGCCTCCTCTATTATGAGATTGGCACAGCTCTTACATTCCCTTTTTAGAGCAGAATCTATACAGTGTGTAAATTAAGTAACGAAACAATTTTTTTTTTTTTAAACGGAAATAGATAGAAATATTTTGTTTGTGGCAATAATTGTTAACAAAGGTTCCGCAATTTCTTACATCAAAAATATTTTTTACCTCCCCTAACAGCGGAAGGGGTAGGGGGTGACTTATTTTTTTCAAATAGCAACCCCTATTGAGCAACCCCTCATTTTGAAGGGTTTGTTAAAAGAAACACAATGACGCAAATCCGAGGTAGATATTTCACCCCTATCCTAAATGGCGGGTATTCCAAAATGGGTGCTTTTTCACATAATTAAATTTTGGAATACCCGTCATTTAGGATAGGGGTGAAATATCACCTCGGGTTTGCGTCATTGTTTTTCTTTTAACAAACCCTTCAAAATGAGGTGTCACTCAATAGGGGTTGCTATTTGAAAAAAATAAGTCACCCCACCCCCCTTACGCTGTTAGGGGAGGTAAAAATATTTTTGATGTAAAAAATTGCGGAACCTTTGTTAACAATAATTATTGCCACAAACAGAATATTTCTATCTATTTCCATTTTAAAAATACAGATTTTTTCGTTACTTAATTTACACACTGTATAGATTCTGCTCTTAAAGGGGAATATAAGAGCTGTGCCAATCTCATAATAGAGGAGGCTTCTAAGTTCTTTATCTTCCCACTCATCGCTTCTCTTACACAAAAGCGATCCGTGTCAGCGTCTTGACAGTGTGCAGATGATTCTATTTACTTTCTCCCTCTATACCATACAGTCCAGTCAAGTAAAACACCCATGAGTTCAAAAGGTCATGCTGTTGTAAAAACTTATAAATTAACAGACAAATTTAATTTTCTCAAAAATGGCCAAACAATTTATAAAAATAAAATAGTATGTTATAGCCCTTTAAATTCTGAACTAGATGGTACTATTCCCATTGCTGTAAACATTAAGGTTCAAAAGTTATTGTAATTGAAATGTTACTTTCCCCAAAAAAAAACCTATAAAATATAAGAAAATCTGATTTTAGAAAAAAAAACGGTTTTAAATGAAATTACAATATCTTATGGTCCTTATAATTCTAAACAAAATAGTGCAACCCCCCATTACTGTAAAAATTACAGTTAAATAGTTATTGCATCTTTTTTTATTTCCCTATAAAATATCATAGTTACTCCCACCGCTTACCCATGATAAAGGTTTGCTAACGGGAGAAAGTATGTGTCAGAACGATGATATCGTTTATTTTTCTTTGTCCTCAGTGACCGGTTTGATCAAATAACAAATAATTCAATTCTCTACTAAAATATAAGTTATCTACACTTTGGTTAGATAATGTTCATATAGTAAACCTGTAGTCCTGAGTGCTAGGCTGAAAGACTGGAAACTCTATGCGATCCAACATGTCACAGCCACACTCAGCTCCCAACAGCTGATAGAAGTCACAGTTGGCTGCTCTTGCAGAGAACGGGTCTTCTCGAGGACCTTGTTTTCTGTAACCAAGGGCAATAAGCATAAAACTTATAGTAAGAAACATGCTAACTATTTTAAATTGGTTTAATTTAGAGTGGGTTTTTGGTAACTGAAGTACTGTCAAGATCTTTTTGCAGTGCATCATATTATCTTTCCACACACTTACTTTGCCACAGCTGGATATTCCATAACTAGTTTTAATACAGTGTTTATTTTGCAACAACAGCTGTTAGTTTATTCATTAAAACTAGGTGAAACCCGTCGAAATCGACGGTTACTTTCAAGGCTTACGTTAATTCATCTAACTGCGATTAATTGGGTGAAATATACATATTTTGAGCATTTACCATTGTTTAAAGAGTAATAAGTGTAAAAACAATAATGGTATTAATTGCGTTAGTTGCCAAATTTGGTTGATCATTCAATGAATAAAATATTCCCCATACCGTACGTCATTGGAGTTATTATTAGTATGTTGGTATCTCTTCCTTTGGAAGAACCCTTAAATAGTATTGAAATCCTATTGGTGGATCTTTTGTAGTTAAACACTACCGTGATTTCATCAGTTTAATATGATTTTATTTCAAAAGAAAATATTTTTTGGGAAGACATATTCTAACTTCAAATGGAGGTATATCCGTTACAGTGTAAGTTGGATTTTTCCTTCGTCACGTCGGGTCAGTTCATATCGTACTTCTGTGCCAATGAATGAACCCTCTAGCATAGTTTTGAGAAATTGATTGTGGGGTTATTGTTCAAGCTGGAATTCCTTGACATGGGGGATGTCAGTTAGTTGTCTCAGCCTTATCAATAACATAAAGTTGTCAATATAATCTCTCTATGGAATGTTAGGTGTAGTGTAATACTTGAAGTGAAGTTGGCTTTTATTCTTGAACTGTTAGGGGCCTCCTAGTTCATATGGTCTTGCGGCTTCATTGCAACAAATAATGCAAATGACATAGCAATGTGACATTTCCAAAAAGCAAAAATACTCTAAATTGGCTGTTACGTATATATTGACGTTTTACATATTGTTAATCAACGTATCTTATAAAGGATTATGTGATCTAGTTTAAAAGGAATATGACCTTTCTGTCATGACAGTAGCTGATTAAATAGTATTTTCTCTTTGTACCATATTTTACAGCCAAAATGTCGTGTTATTTTTAATAATGTTACAAAACCAGAGCGTCAAAGTCCGTAATATAGGCAGGTGCAAATAATTTGTCACGATGGGTACCATTTATGGCAAGGTTTCTATGTTTGGATTTTATTAGAAACGAAGATCAGATATTTCTACATAAATATTTGATATGTGTAGAATAATATGATAAAATGTAGGCAATAAATATAAGATAGTTCAATATGAAATAATTTAAGAACAATTGCTGTGATAAAAGGATTTTCCACTGATTTCGTAATGGAACGTTATATTGCAAAACATGACATGATAAAGAAGAAAATCAATTTTAAAATCAGAAAATAACATTACAAATACTTATTTGGTAGAATTCAGTAACTCCCAATAAATGTGTGTTGTTTGAAATACAATTTAAAAATGAACAGCTGTTTCATTAAAAAGTATTATTCACATGGCCAAAATGTAAACAACTCTTTGGAGGGATCTTTAAAGGCTTCTGGGGCAGAGTCCTAAGGGATTTTGCTTAGTTTTTCTTTTGATAACTCATCTACAGACCAAGACCTTTCTTTGGACACCTCTACCAAGTTTCTAGACAAAGTTTCCAATTAAATATTTAGATTCCCCCATGTTAATCTTATGGGAGAAACTCTGTCGGAAACTGTTCGGTAGGCGGATGCAGCTCTTAGTGCTGCCTGACGCTGCACTCGGGCGAGCCGCATCCTATACACCTCCTTATTGAGAGCGTCTGCCCACACCTCCGCACCGTACAAGAGTACGGACTGGACAGAAGACATTAAGAGCCTTCTACGGCTGGACGGCCCTCCGACTTTGGCCATCAACCGGCTAAGAGAGGAAACCACCCTAGCGGCCTTGTCCGCCGTATGGAAAATCTGATCCCGCCAGCTAAGCTTGCTGTCCACCATTACCCCAAGGTACTTGGCAATACGAACGGTCTGGACTTCGACGGCCCCTACCCTCAATGGCACGATGGTGTCAATCCGTTTTTTTTTTAATATCACGATCTCAGTTTTGCTCAAAACAAGCGAGAGACCGTGGTCTACCATCCATGCGTTTATGGTATGCATAACTCGGTTCAGCTTTAGCTGAGCCAGCTCAACGCTACGTGCAGCTATCAAAACTGCTACGTCGTCTGCGTACCCAACCAAAAAAGTTTTCTCAGGCATTTCAGACCTCAGAAGGCTGTCATACGCGACATTCCAGAGGTCTGGGCCGAGTATGGAACCTTGGGCCAGCACCGGAAGTGACACTCATCGTCCGTGGGCCCTCTGTAGTGTCATACATGAGGAGGCGGAACCGGAGATAATCCTCTATGACACGCATGAGGTATGCCAGAACGTGGAAGGTGTTCTCCAGAGCATCCAGCATATCGCACCACCTCGCGGAATTAAATGCGCAGTCGGGAACGGATCAACTTCTCAAGGACTTTGCCAGCCGTATCCAACATACACAGAGGTCTGTAAGAGGATGGCAGGTATGGGTCTCCCTTCCCCTTCCCAACAAGCACAAGCCAAGCTGTTTTCCAGCACGAGGGGAAAACTCCTTCGACTAGGCAGGCGTTGTACATGCGAAAAAGGATCAAGGGGTTATTAGTCAAAACCTTCTTGATTACTTTGCAGGGTACCCCATCGGGTCCAGGAGCCTTATTGTTCTTCAGGGATAGGGCGGCCGCCTCCATCTCTCCAAGACTGAAAAGTGGTACGTCATCCACCCTTCCGAAATCCCGCAGTGGGCGCAACGTTTGAGCCGGGAAAAGGGACTCGACTATCCTCTCCATAGTGGCCCCATTCATGACGGATGGTGGAGAGCGGACGCCAAGTTTGTAACCCAGGCCCCACGGATTGGAATTGACATCATCCCTTAATGTCTCCCAGCAACTGTGTTTACTCTGGTTGATGGCTCGACGAAGAGACCTCCTAGCCACTCTGTAAGCATCCATATTACGACGTCTGTCTACAGGTTCTCTGGCCCTAGTAGCAAGTCTTCTGGTTCTCAATGCTGACCGACGCAATTCCGCAATCTCGGCAGTCCACCAGTACACAGGTCGCTTATTGCACCGGGATCTTGTACTCGTAAGGTCCAATAAAAAGTACAAATGTAATAATTTATACTAAATTTATACTACAGAACAATAACACTTCAATAGGATTTAGACAAAGTTAAAAAGAAGCCATTTCATTTTCATGTGCACCACTGACATTTTATTAATAAAAGCAATGAATTCACAATGAATATATACTTTTCATTTAGTTAAGTTATACCTCTGTATCTCAATCCTTAATAATTCACAATCCTTATTATAATTAATGATAAAACAATTCAAGAATCAGTATAATCTCCTGCGAGGCATAGACTCATCGCAGACCGAGACGATCAGTCCCATCACGGATGTAACTAACGCCTCTGCGTGAGCCACGCTAGTTGCGGGAGGAACCACCAGCGTTCCTCGTAAGATGGCTTCATTGAATTTTGCCACGTCCAATTTTTTAATATTCCATCGAACGGGCACTTGACGAATACGGCTACTTGTCTCTGATGACCATCCAGGACATCAAAAATTATGTACTGGTGGTCACTGGCCGTGTAATCTTCCAGGACTCTCCAGGCTCTGATCCTTGGCAAAAGAGACTCAGATGCAAGGGTAATGTCTGGGATTGTTCCCTGCAAAGTTGGCGTGTTGCCCTCGTTGACGACAACGAGTCTGGCTATGGCAGCAATGTCCAGAATGTACTTGACCCGGGAATTGGTGAGGGTCATTCCCCACTCGACAGCCCTAGCGTTAAAATCCCCACCCACGACGACGTGTCCTGTGGTATCGCGCAAGCTCTCTTTCAGGCGGTCTATCTTCTCACAAAAGTCACGGATGGCCTCATTGGGAGTGAGGTATACACTGAAGTAAGTGACATCCCGGCACCGAACCCAAACGAAACCACGGCCCTTTGCGTGACCCCGCACTTGTACTTTAGCTGCATTACGCGCCCAGAATGCAGCAGTACCAAGACTATCAGGGAACCAAAAAGATGGGTCCCTATCTCGGTACTGGTACTGTTCGCTGACTAAGAGCGCGTCGACATCGTGTTCGAGGGCCAGCTGACAGAGAAGTGCGTCAGCCGTCCTGGATCGCTCAAGATTGCACTGAAGGATTCTTTATCTTCGTGGGAGGGCTTTCGCTTGCTGAAGTGAAAATTTAAATACACTAAACTGCCCAGACCAAGCTTTATGCTTCAAGTGTTTGTCAGCGAGCCCATTTTCTTTGCAAAAGAAACAGGACTCGACTTGGCAGTCCTTACGGATGTGACCGACCTCCCCGCACCGAAGGCAGTTGCTGCTTCGGTCGGGCCCCTTGCAGTTTCGGGAGGAATGGCCGAAACAGAGGCATTTAAAACACCTCTTCACTTCCACCCTCCAGCTGAGCCTGCAGTTGACCCAGCCGACTCTCAGATGCTGGAGTGCCAGCACCTTATTGGCATGTGCGTCTGCCATTTCGGCGACTGCCATCCTCTGCTGACTCCTATTCGGTTTTGTGAGCCACACCTTAATAAAAGCCGTGTGCCCACCAAGCAAACTTCAGGGCCTCAACAACATCAACCTCCGTCGACACACAATTAATGTCTCGAACCTCGACTGATGTCTTTGGCTCAAGAGCACGGATGGTGCCCTGGCCTTCAACAGCTGAATCTTAATACTAGTGTCAATAACATAAAAAAAATTTCAAAATTTTCAAACGTAAAATTCAAAATGGCGACCATTTTAACTTTTTGAACAAGAATAACTTTAAAACCCTGAATCTTATTAATATAAATCAAGAAAAATGTTTTATTGGAAATTTTAAGAGCCTATTTAGTGTAGGTCAATGTACACTGGTTATATAATCTGCAAAAATGTGACAATCACCAAAACAATATATTGGTTTCATAAAGGTTGGTGTGGTTTCATATAGGGTTGAGAACACATTTTTGAAAAGTACAAAATGGCGGCTCTAAGAGTAACTATTGACTTATACAACCTATATACAAGTATACAAATTTGAATAAATAGTGTTTTTGACCTCTGGGGACATCAAAACGAAAAAGTAAATCCGTCTAGGATCTAGTTAAGAACCAGTGTCACCTTACTGTGCCACCTAAGGTAAATAGTTACTTCCCTATAAGGCAATTCGCTAAAAGTTTGTACTAAACTCACCTTCCACAATCACATGCTGAAACATAGCGAACACCACTGCAATGCTCCATTACTGGGAGTTCCAAACGACTGTAACAGTATTTATATTACAACAAAACATTAATAGTAACTAAAGGCTGAAACATAGCGAACACCACTGCAATGCTCCATTACTGGGAGTTCCAAACGACTGTAACAGTATTTATATTACAACAAAACATTAATAGTAACTAAAGGCTGAAACATAGCGAACACCACTGCAATGCTCCATTACTGGGAGTTCCAAACGACTGTAACAGTATTTATATTGCAACAAAACATTAATAGTAACTAAAGGCTGAAACATAGCGAACACCACTGCAATGCTCCATTACTGGGAGTTCCAAACGACTGTAACAGTATTTATATTACAACAAAATATTAATAGTAACTAAAGGCTGAAACATGATTACAATCTTCATCCAAGACAAGGAACACATAGCATACAAAGAAACTGAGGATGTACAAGATCTAACTCAGGTTAAATATTACCAATCTATATTACCAAAATCTAAAAAAATTTAACTTGATTTAAGGCGTAAAAATTAGGGTCTAGCAATAATCACCATTGTGTATGTAACAAAAATATGGTTGATTACCTTATTGCATACAATATTACCGGTACTTCACCGGAGTTAATTAAGATAATTGGTTCCATATTCTTTTAGAAAAACCATCAAATGCACATTGGCCAAGGTTTTAATAGGCCACTGGAAATAATCAGACAAGAACTCGTTTAAGGCCAAATTTCCGTGTTCCATCGTAATTAGTCACCATAAGAGCACTAACTTCTTCTTCATAAGAAGAATTTGAATTTTAGTTTAAGTTCTTATTAGTATCTACTATGTTTTAACTAAGCTGAATGTATACATCAAAGTAACCCAAGTGAATCATCTTCAGAGAAATGCAATTTTCCAGCTTGAAGATATTTATTTCCAAATCTTGCACTCATTTCTCTATGAAAATAAATCAAAATTATAGAAATCAATACAACCACTATTATAATTTACTTGATTCTTCAAAACATGAACATGACTCACATTAGCAATGTAGCCTACTCTACTCGTCTACTGCACTTGCATTGTTTTTATTGTATGACACAATGGAATATTCTTTCCAGTAATAATAAAACATGTTTGACAATAATCTCAAAAATCTATGATGTTTTGTCATGTCATTAATTACACAAAAAACTGAAAACTTACTCGTTAGGGAATAATCAACTGTTCCTTTGAAATTTTAATTCTCCATTAAACTTGTAATGATACTTGGTTGCATTGAAGAATAGATTTTAGAATAACATTTCATGAAATTATACAAAACATGACGTGATGCAGTAGAAAATCAATTTTAAAATCACAAAAACAATGTAAATATTTCATTTTAACAAATTCAGTAAATGCTTATATCATGTATTCTTTGAAATACAATGATTTAAATAAGGTTTATGCAGCTAAGTGTTGGAAAATTCATTGTACAAGGCAAACCAGAAAGTGACAACATTTTAGTGAGCACCGATCATCCAACCAATTAAAACAATCTTTTATATCTGGCTTACTTCAAGATGATGATCTCAACATGCTGAGCCCAATTATTGTACTTGAAATTATAATGTGATTTCTCCACCACAGTAGTTCCATCAATAACTGAGTGTTTGGCATATAGTGCTCCATTTTTTAGGATTTAGCTGTCATAGTAAAATTAAGGACACAAGTGTAAAACTCTATGAGACCATTGATATCTTCAACCTTGACTTGAGGTAACAGACTGGTCTTCCTTTGCGTTGATTCTAAAATCTACGCCGGCCTGCCAAAGAACATTTACCAGTCGTGTTTTGAATGTTACTGTACTTTTCGCTACACTAAAAAGACTTATTATTTTAAAATTTTAAACATACATTGAAACATTTCTTTACTATAGTTTGGGACATTTCAAAACTAATAGCTAGGTGTTTAGGTTAAGGACTTGTATTTGAAGTTCAAATCTACATTAATTGTACATGACAGTTTTGGTTGTTGCAAATTGAAACAGTTGGTGAAAAGATTACAAATGTTTGTTTATGTCAGCAACAACATTGAACAAATATAGTTAACATTAACATTTGCATAGTAAACTTTTTTTGCAAAGTAAAAAAAGATTATACCGGTAGTGAATTTTTGCAGGTGATAAACATCAGACAAAAATAATTAAATATAGACCGTCAGTCATGCTGCAGTTACCATAGGTTCTTGCGCACACCGCTGGGAGCGCCATGTAGTTACGGCATACTATCAAAAATTTGCTATCAAAATCGAAAATTTGCTATCAAATTAGTGATCTACAATAACTAATTTATTAGCATGTGTAACCATCTGTGATGTGGAAAGCGAATAGGGACCACTTGTCGGGAATTTTCGATTTTGAGTTATGTATATATTTGAATTCCTTATTAAATTCCGAATCAATTGGTGCAAGTCCCACGCATATATGATTTTTTTTGTAAGGACTTTGAAATTTTGTTATGGAAAAGGGTCATTTTGAGAAAAACTGTTTTGAAAATTTCAAATACGCATAAAAACGGTGTTTTTCGTATTTAAGAAACAATTTTGGTATCAAAAGAAAGCTTATAATGTCCTCTTTGAAAGAAATACAAATTAATTTCTTAACTCGCAATAGTTTTCATTTAAATGATTGTTTTATTGAAGCATGTCGTAAAAATTCCTTTCAGAAAAGGGACCACTTGTCGGCCCTATGTTATTTCACCATAAGATAAGAAAAGGTACCTCTTGTCGGGACCGCAAAAGTTGTGAGTTATTTTGTTCTTCGTGAACTGAACTTTGTTGTAGTTCTCTACATTTCCACTAGAATGCAGGACAATTCATTTTTTGGACTAAAATCTGTTTAAAAAGGGAATATTAGAAATGGGACCTCTTGTCGTTATGGCGAAATAACATTGAGCGACAAGAGGTACCTTTTCTCAGACCGTGCAGAGGCTAAAAAATGATTTATTTTGACCTTTTGCATCTTCAATTTGAGATTTTAACCGATACTGTCATGTTCTATGTTAAATAAGGTATAACAATCGATAAAAACCCGAAATTTGATATTTTTGGCCTTATTACTTATTATTTCTCGTAAACCTTCCAACGAGGTTTAATAAGCATTGGTATACTTATATCGGCCGTACTGAAAATTTTGCATCTCCGACAAGAGGTCCCTTTTCGCTTTCAACATCACATATTTAAATTCGATGTGAATGAACAATTCTAATTTTTGCCCCTATTTTATTTATTTACACTATTATATTTCATTCACAAGACTTTAAACATAAATATATCTGATACTACAAACAATATTTAATTTATATTTACAGTCATGCGTATGAATACAGTTACAGTAGCCTATATTATAGGTGTGAATTAAATATGGTTAATATAAGTGTAATTAGTTTAGGTGTTCACGAAATAGGGCTCCTGATATATTAAAGCAGTAAATAAAGCACAGCTGAACACCTTGAAATAATTATTATATTTTGTAGACGTTACATGTTTCGGACATGATTCAATTTTCAAATTCAAATAACAGTAAAGACTTAAAACAAAAAAGGTAAAAACAAAGGTAAAGTGTTTACTGTTATTTGAATTTTAAAAATTGACTCATATCAGAAGCATGTCACTTCTAAAAAATATAATTATTATTTCCGGGTGCTCAATTTGCTTAGGGGTCTCAATCACGGGCATTCAATCCAATCCCGGGATTTCAGGATTCATCACAGCCGATCCCGGGATCCCAGGATCAATCCCAGAGGATTATACAATATTATGATTTTTAACTTTTTAGCCATTTTAAATGAGCGAGAAGTCCCCTCGCTGATTAAAGTTGAGTACTTTAATGTTTTAAACTGGCCTTACCAGTGTTACACTGCGGAATTTCGCCGGAACTTTCATCACCCGTCTTTCTTATTTACTGTGTATAAATGTTGATATTTCACTCTAGAATATAATAAATACATTTAAAAAAATCACAAACACGTAGCCTATACGTCACGCTAATAGATGGATTAAAGATAGCTAAGATAAAAAGATAAAATGGGAAGAATCAAGAGTAGCAGAGTAAAAATGTTGTTTTGACTGACAGCAATAAAACAATAAAAATACTGTAAAACAATAAAACATCTGCTTATGTTGTAGCGTGTGTATGAAAAACGTAATTTAGGATTGTAAGAAATTGAATCACCACACTAATAACCAAATACGAAGATAAAGTTATAGACCCTAAATATAAGCAATCTTAATAATGAAATTATTATGGTGTGTTCATAGTTATATTTTATGGCTTCAATGAAAATAGTACTTCAATTTCCGATTGCCATGCTATGTTTGCTACACGAATTGCGTTGTTTACGTTTAATGTCAAAAGTAAAACCCAAAATAACTTATAGGCCTACTGCAATTAAGTTCTAACTAATGTAATAACATTTACAGAAAGTAAATCCAAATCGTCTAAAAACTGAAACATTTATTTACATTCGTTCGCCTATTGAGTTTAATGATAATTTAATTTTCCAATCAAAATAGATCATTACTTATACCATTTCATATATACAGGGTGTTTTTTTAAAAACTTGCATCTTTATTTATGTAAAAACCGCAATAGATAGAAATATGCAGTTTGCGGGAATCATCTGTTGACGTAGGGGGCCCATTTTTTTTTAATTCAACGTTATATTCACATTCCCCCCCTTTCCCCCCTTACACCAACTAATTTTTTTAAAATAGCAAGGTACCACTTGTGACAGGAAGGTATGGGGGTTTAGTGAGTGGGAGAAAATTTTGCGCCGGGGTTGGTTCGGCAGATTGACCACAACCTAAACCCCAACTCTCACTTGTTAGCTGCGGAGAGCTACCTTCTGCCACTGGGTGTTGGTCCACCTACAGAACCAAGTGAGGGGGGCCCTAGACTAAGGTGTAATGCGATCCGTGCCAAGAGTCTTGTGGCACTGGGGGCCTAATATTCAGTGTCTTAACGGAGCCTTCTGCGAACCAGGGGTAACCCAGTCGTACACACCCCTT